ATCTATCGAACTGCTATTTCCTTTACGGACAATTTTCACTGTCAGAATTCAACTTGATAGAATATCATAACTATATATAGGGTCACCGTCGTTATGTGGAAGTTGAAGATAGGAAAGGGAAATGGTGAAGATCCGCATTTATTCAGTAGCAATAACTTCGTCGGACGTCAAACATGGGAGTTTGATCACCAAGCCGGCTCACCAGAGGAAAGAGCTTCCGTCGAAGAAGCTCGCCGAAGTTTCTTGATCAACCGTTCTCGTGTTAAAGGTTGCAGTGATCTCTTATGGCGAATGCAAGTGAGTTTTTTTTTTGGTCATGAAATATATAATACTAATCTATTTTTTTTAATAATGATTTATAACCAATGTTTATTTAATTTTATTTGGTTTGATTGTATGCACAGTTTCTAAGAGAGAAGAAATTCGAACAAGGCATACCGCAACCTACTAAAATAAAGGAGGAAATAACGTATGAAACAACGACAAATGCATTACGAAGAGGCGTTCGTTACTTCTCAGCTTTGCAAGCCTCCGACGGCCATTGGCCTGGAGAAATCACTGGTCCGCTTTTCTTCCTTCCTCCTCTCGTAAGTCTCTTCATCTCTCTATATACCTTTTTTCAAGATACTCCATGCATCTTATATTTCTACGAGAGATAATTAATTCTCTTAGGATTAAAGTTACGGTTTAATTAGGCGCTTTCGCTAGTAATTGCATAAAGAAAAGAAAGAGAAACTATACTATGTTATATATACCAATAGTTTTTGGTATCCAAAACATAGAATTTATTCTGAAAAAATCAAACTAAAAGACTATAAAAAGAGCTAGGATGGAAATTTGAACGATATTTTTCCCCTTTTTTTTTAATAGATATTTTGTTTGTACATTACCGGACATCTGGAGGAAGTATTCGATGCTGAACATCGCAAAGAGATGCTACGGCATATCTATTGTCATCAGGTATACTTTTAGTTGTGAAGGTCTCTAATCTTGAATGTACCTAAGTGATTCTTACATAAGTTTATGTTTTGTCTTTTTGCAGAACGAAGATGGTGGATGGGGATCACATATCGAAAGCAAGAGTGTTATGTTCTGCACCGTGTTGAATTACATATGTTTTCGTATGCTTGGAGAAAATCCTGAACAAGACGCGTGCAAACGAGCTAGACAATGGATTCTTGACCGTGGTGGTGTGATTTTTATTCCTTCTTGGGGGAAATTTTGGCTCTCGGTAAAATCTTTTGAGCCATATATATTTTTTTGTTAACTTAAATGGGAGATGTTGAATGCTTAAGGTGCCATATATAAATCATCATTTGGTTTTCACTATATATATATCTAGATACTCGGAGTTTATGAATGGTCTGGAACTAATCCGACGCCACCAG